AGACTCCTTTTAGACCTGGAGTCCCCCAGATGCAGGAGCAGCTCTGCTTGGGTCTAGCTGGGATGGATGCTTAATGGATGCTGGTCTGTGGCGAAAAATACTGCCTGGGTGTGGCCTGGCTTGAATCTTTGTTTTCAGAGTCTGTAGTCACAGATCTGGTCTTCCATCCAATCCAAGTGGGTGCCACGCTCTCATGAGGCCCGTTCCAGCTCCCTAACCTGGCTGGGTGTTTGCCGTGGCTCCCGGCACCCTCACCACGGCGCCCATGCGTGCATGTGTGGTGGGTACATGCACAGGCGCTCATCTGCCCACCAGCAGATTGCGTCCTTAACAGAAGCGATTTCGCTCCCCGTGTAGGGTTCCAGAGGCAGCAGAGGGAAACACAGAACCATCAGTTGAACCTGGTACTTGGGGGCCGAGGGGGTGTCCCAGCCACCATCTGTCATGTGGGAAACCCCCTTTTCAGTGGGGGCCTGTGTTTACCCATCCCCAGAGATACTGGCAAGGTCTTGAGATATTTCAGTTTTGCCACTGGGCAGGGGATTCTGCCAGTGGCCAGGGGGATGGTGAGTGGTCAGCAGTGCACAGGACTACCCTGCAGGGAGTTCGCCTCAGTGCTCAGGGTTGAGCGTCCCTGATGAGGGGCGTCTGGATCTGGTCAGTGTTAACGTGCAAGCCTTCCTGGCAGCCTGTGAAACACAGACCCCAGCGGGATGCCGTGTGATTCGTCCGTGGGGTGAGGCCCTGTCTTGCTGATGGCCATGGCCCTGTCGAGGCGAGGGCCACACCCTGACCTCAACCCTCGGCCTGCCTTGTCCTGGGCAGTCACCACGCCGCAGCCCCGTCCCGTGGGCGTATTCCAGCCGCCCTCCAGGACGCCAGTGCAGGAGGCTGCCCTTCTGTGGAGCCGGTCCCGCGTGGCGCCAGCAGCTGGGGGGGCGGGCTCCCTATGATCCGGGCAGACAGGTAAAGGGGCGTCCTGGAGCGCTCGGTGGCTTTTTCAGGCTTTTCATGCTCTTTCTACGCCATTCATAGTGGGGCACCAGGCGCAGGGTGGGCAAGGCGGGCCCGCGAGGGCTGGGAAGCTGGGAAGCCTCCTGGCCCCCGGCAAGTCTTCACTCTGTCTGGGCTCTCCAGCTTCTCTCCTGGTCTCTGCTGCTCTCTGCCACGTGGTCCTGCTGGCTGTCTCCTCTGAGCTGTGCTCTGCTCTGTCCAGGCCCTGCCTCCGGCTCAGGCCCCTCCCACCCACGCCCACCCCACAGCTGCCCTCAGGCGCGGGTGTAAGACCAAGGTGTGGATCATGGATGCCAAGGCCGAGGGGAAACGTGATCACCCTCATGCACCCTACACCCCACCGACGGAGACACAGCGGAACGGAGACGGGTGTGGGTCTCGCTTTCAAGCTGCCCTCACAGCCCCACGCTCCCCTCTTCCCTCGCTTTCTGACTAAATCAAGCGGGGGGTGGGGGGGGGGTGCGGCGCTTGCTCTGAGCGTCCATCCTGGCCGCCATAAAACACGTTTCCCGGATCATTTCAGGGTGCGCAGATGTGCCTGGGAAATGACAGATTCCCTCCCGAAGTACCGAAACCACAGCCGGGTGTGAGGGAAGCAAGTGGCGCCCGTGCCGCGCAGTGAACTCGCTCCCCCCGCCGCTGCCTCGGACCCGGCGCCCAGACCGGTGCTGTGGGCAGGTCCAGGGCTCCTGCGTCCCCTGGAAGCCCCTCCCGGGCGCAGGGCTCCGTTAGGGAGGCTGCTCGTGAGGGGGGGTGGTCTTCACAGCTCGCGCCTGGGGCGGCCCAGCTGCCCCTCACCCCTGAGTCTCAGCCTGTGTGGACAGACCACCGGCCAGCTGCTGCGGCCTCCCCCCGGCCTCCCTCCGGCAGACACCAAGACTCCGGGGCCTGACGTGCATTTTTCTGTTTTCACATTCCTTAACAGAGGACGCTAATTATGATTTATGCTCGCTTCTCTGTGGACTGACCTAGCTTGGGGGAGTGGCCACCTGGGAGCCACCTAAGCTCTGGGAAAAGTCACTTCAACTGGGAGAAGGCTGGCTCCTGCAGGGCTGGGTCCTCGCGATCAGGTGGGCATGGTGCCCCTGCTAATTACCACCCTGGAGGTAGCAGGTCACCTGGGCCAGACCCTTGGCCTCCTCTGCTGCTGGCCCCGCAGCCAAGGGGCAGGTGGGTGTGGAGTCCTCTGGTGCTCCCAGATGGGGACACACTTGGCAGTAACGGCCCCCCACCCTTGGTGGGTGCACACGATCTTTTCCTTCCTAGTCCACGCAATGTGGAGCAGAACTGGCTTTATGTTTGTGGGGTGTAGGAAATAAAAATCAGAGGAGAGAAAGAAAAGAAAGAAGAAATTATATGAGAGGCCAGTTTGTGGTGTTTTGAGGCTATGGGCGTGTAGGCCAGACAGGCTGTTTGTGGGGTGAGCTTGGAAATGACACCCCCACCCCGACCCTGATGCATCACAGCTCTGCCTGGAGCTCCCCAGATGACAGCCCGACCTCTGCCTGGGAGGGTGAAAAGCTGTGTGATGCCGTTGGGCGTCCTGGGGGCAGGGCCGGGCAAGCAGGAGGGCGTCCAGGCAGATGCCCTCAGATGCACACGTCAAAGTACACGTTCCAGAAAGTGGCAGAACATACCTGAGAAGAGGGGTCCTTGCAGGCGCCTCCACCCTGCTCCCTGTGGGCATCGGGCCAGCCCAAGTCCCCCACAGTGCCCGAGGCTCCCCGATCAGCATGTCCTCGCCAGCCCTGCTGTTCTGGTCCTTCCGGCCATGTCTTTCCTAGTCTCGTAGAAGAGGGACTCTTGCTCTCTGTGACTGCAGGGTGGGGGCCTGCTAAGGGAGATAGGTCAGGGGAAGTCAGGCCCTGGAATCACTCACGATGGCACATAAAAGGGCAGAGTAGGCCCTCCCTGGTGGCACAGCGGGTTAGAGCACAGCACTGAGAAGCTAAAGCCACTTCCGCATGAGTGCGATTCCCGCCTGCCCCGGAGGTGACCACATGGCGCGGCAGACCTCTCCTGACCCGCCCGCTGCTCCCCTCAGCAGTGTACTTCGTCGATCTGCCTGTTCTGCTCCCCACTCTGTCTCTGGTGAAGCCTCTCGCCGCCCCTGAGCCTCTGGCCTGTACCCCAGTTCTGTATGAACAAATAAATAAATCTTAAAAAAAAAAAAAGGGCAGAGTAAGGGAACAGACACAGTGAAACCCAGCAACCCGGCCGTAGAAGTGAGGTACCCGGGGTGGGGAAGGCAAAAAGCTGTGGGAGAGTGTCCAGGGGCTTCGGTGGTGGGCGTGGATGGTGACATACATCCGAGAGGGGTGACCCCATCCCCCCAAGTCATACAGGGGGTAAACCAGTATTGCCTCAATAAAAATGATAAATCCTAAAAAAAGAAATGAAATAAAAGTGGCGAAATACCGATAATTGTTGATGTTGGCTTAGAGGGCTTCGTCATAGTTATGATCTCTCCTTTTCTGTAAACTTTAAATTTTATAAAATGTCTTTTAAAAAATTAAAAGAGCGGGCCCTCCCAGGTGGCGCAGCGGGTTAAAGCACAGCACTGAGAAGCTAAAGCTGCTTCTGCGTGAGTTCGATTCCTGCCTGCCCTGGAGGTGACCACATGGCGCGGCAGACCTCTCCTGACCCACCCGCTGCTCCTCTCAGCAGTGTACTTCATAGAACTGCTTGTTCTGTTCCCTACTCTGTCTCTGGTGAAGCCTCTCACCACCCCTCTGGCCTGTACCCCAGTTCTGTATGCACAAATAAATAAATCTTTAAAAAAAAAATTAAAAGAGCATAATTAAAGAGTGACGTCATAGCTATGTCATTTTGAGTTTTGAGGGAGAAACTGCTACTTACTAGGCAGAACCATCTGAAATCGCCACCTGAGTGGGTCAGAGCAGTCTCCTCACAGGCAGCTTCTGTGGGCACTGTGCTGGTGGGCCTTCGCTGGCCCTGCCCCACGCTGTGGGCACAGGGAGCTCGCCTACTGGCTCTCAAGGCAGCCGTGTCAGGCTAGCTCCGGTCCAAGGCGCGGCCAGCTGCCTCTCCAGAGTGTCAGGCCTGGGCCCCAGATCTCGGCCCCCCAACCCTCGGGACACAGAGGCCCAGGGAATCGCACAGCCCTCACTGACTAGGCAGCCAGACAGGCCTGTTCTCTGCCCGTGGGGAGGGCAGGGGCCTGGGCTCAGGTGGTGGGACGCATGTGGGCCTGGGACAGGCTGGCACTTGAACAGGGCTGGAGCTGCGGTCACTGCAGAGTGACCTCCAGTGAGAGGGCCCCGTGTCAGGTGGGTCCTTGCCTGGAAACCAGCCCCCAGAGCCAACGGTGCCCGTTTCTCAACCCCTAAATTGGCTCCTGAGTTATGTAATTTCCCGGTGTTTTCTTACAGACTAGGAGGCACACTGTAAAAACAACACGTTGGATTTCTCCCCAAGGAGGGAAGTGTGCAGGCAGGAGGAGAGGAGCTGGGAGGGTGGGCGCCTGAGCCTGGTCTGGGGACACCGCTTGAGCCTCGCGGTCCACCGGCCCCACCCCCAGTGTGTCTCAGCTGGGACGACTGTTTCCTTCATTGTTGCCCCTCAGCAGTGCCCAGTGGCTGCTGTGCTCTGGAGGAGCATGCGTCGTGGGGGGATGGGGGCCCCCAGAGCACTCGCCCATCTGCTGCGTCAGTGCTGCCAGAGTTTCTGTCTGGTGCTGCATGTTCTCAGCCTCTCTCTGCCCCTTGTCGGTCTCTCCTGGTAGCAAAAAGAGAACCAGTGAGGGCATGATGCCCTCGCCGAGAGAACCCGCGGCCGCCCCTGGCGTCATTTGTCGGCACACTGGTCCTGGGGCAGGTGCTGGCCTTGCTCACTCGCCCTCCAGCCTGGGGTGCTGAGACGGGAAACCAGGGGGAGGCAGACAGGCAGACAGGCAGTCACCACAGGGACGTGGCTCCTGCATGGGCCCTCCCTGGAGTTCTAACTGCCTCCGGTTCCCCCGACAGTGACGGAGAGCCGAGGGATCCTGGAGAGCACCCAGAGGTTCTCGCTGCTGCCCACCTACCTGCCCGTGAGCTTCCGCATCCAGCACGCCGACGCAGCCTTCTTCCTGAAGGAGGCCAACCAGGACATCATGCGCAACTCCAGCCTGCAGTCGCGCGTCGAGTCCTTCCTCGTGCACAAGTCCCGGCGGCCCCCCATCCTCCGCGCCACCTACGGCCCCTTCTCCGCCGAGCAGGTGGTACCCCAGGACCTGCTGCTGCCCACCAGCCCCTTCGGGCTCAGCCACGCATTTCCTCTCAACTGGCGGCTTCGCGCCCACATCCTGCGGGACAAGGTCTACCTGAGCCGGCCCCGGGTGCAGGTGCTGTTCCACCTGGTGGGCCGGGACTGGGCCGAGCGCGGCCCCGGGGAGGCGCTGCCCTGCCTGCGGCTCTTCGCCTTCCGGGAGACCCGAGAGGTGCGGGCCGGCTGCCGGCTGCAGGGGGCCCTGGGGCTGTGCGTGGCCGAGCTGGAGCTGCTGGCCGCCTGGTTCAGCCCCCCGACGGTGGTGGCAGGCCGGAGGAAGGTGGGGATCCCCGCCGAGGGCAGCCCCGTGGAGCTCTACTACAGCCTGCAACCGGGGGACACCCGGGGGGGCTGCAGCACGGGGGGAATGCGGAGGAGTGGCGGGGCCCAGCAGGGCCTCGGCGACGTGGACGAGTCGGGGCCCCCCCTGCAGCGGATCGGAAGCGTCTTCCTCTACCAGACGCCTGGCCGGCCTCCCCTACGAGAGGTGCGCCTGGACCGCCACGTGGCTGTCCACTACGTGCCCAGGCCGGCGCGGCCCGGAGACGTGCTCACCTTCCCTGTGTCCATCTCCAGGAACTCCTCAGAAGACCGCTTCACGCTACGGTAAGTGTCGCCGATGGCCGGTCACAAGGGGGCGTGGAGGGGAACGATCCTTCTCCCAGAGGGCCAGCTGGGCAGGGCCTCACATGCTGTTTTCTCTGCCATGGCAGGGCTGAGCTGACCTTTCTGACTTGGCCACTTGGTGGGAAAGGTCTTCTCATTAGATCTGAGGGGCTGTTGCTACACCTGGGGGTGTCACCAGCAGGTCTAGGTGAGTTTCCAGCAGGGCCCTTCATAGCCCACCCTTGAGTGGCCGGTGGTTGAAAGGGTAGTAGTGGTTGGGGAGGGGATGGGCGGCCTGCCCAGAACCTCTCCCTGGCATGTGGCTTCTGTGTCTGGCACCAGCTGCAAGGCAGCTGTGGTGGTTCCCCTGGAGGCAGGACAAGTGCTCAGAACCCGAGAGGGGAGCTTGTGAGGAGCACGGAGTCAAGTCACCGAGGGTCTCCCTAAGGAGGGGAGCACGGCGCCCATGGCAGGTGGAGCACCGGGCCGGGACAGTTTGCTTTAAGCAAAGACAGGTTTGATCACGATGGCTTCGGGCTGAGGTGGTGCCAGCTCCGCTGTGTGGCTCAGAAGCCCGCCAGAAGGCAGTGGCCGACCTGCGCTCTGACCTTGAAGACCGGGCCTGCAGCGCACAGTTCGCACGTGGACCCGAAGAACTGAGATGAGCTTCTGGTCCTGCCCCATGGGCGGTGTCTGTGCGCTCCCTCCCTGCCTCCTCCCCGCCCCCTATCCCCTCTCCCTCCCTTCCTACCTTCTTTTCCTTTTTGTGAAGGGTGAGTCAGTTGAAGAAAGGGATTTGTCTTTTGTTCTATTCAGTTTTGTTGATTGTCAGCTAGTACTGGGAATTCCCATTGAATTTCAGCTGAAGACACAGAAGTTCACATACGTTAGTAAGACCATCGACTTGGTGGATCTTTGGCTGGTGAACCTGGGGCTGAGGTTGGTGCACCTGGGGTCACTCACAGGGGCTGAGGGGCTGCCTAGGCACTGTGGGCCAGCACACCGCCTCCCCAGCCTGGAGAAAATAGACTTTCTTTGCAGGCCGTGACCTCTATAGGGCTGGGTCAACAGGCATCCCACTCCACCCTACAGCCTCAGGAAAGCTTTTTGGAGCTGACTGGGAAGTGGAGGAGCATGTCCCAGGCAGGAGCTGGGGGCTCTGGTCTCTCGCAGCTCCATCCTTTCTGCAGTTCTTTTTGTCTGCCAAGTGCGCATGTGAATTTCTGGACCCAGGGTTCAGACCCTCCAGGAGGAGGATTCCTGCAGCCAGCTTTGGCTGAAAGCAGCGTTCTGTGCCATCTTAGACGTCCTCAAATGCTTTGTGTCAATGCCACTGGCACCCGTCAGGCTCTGCGCCCCCCCCAGGGCAGGAACAGAGCCAGGCCTCATTTCTGGGCTGCGGCAGGAGGGTCCGCGCCTTTGCAAATTCAGAAGCATTCCCTTTGAAGCGTCTGGGGTGGTACTGCTGCTCAGAGGCCAGGAAGTATTGGATGCGCAGTAAAATCGTGATGGTGCAGAGTTCACCACTGAGAGGCCGTGGAAATAGCTGTGCAGATGAAACAGTGGCCGTCAGGCATCGGACAGTGTGGGCCTGGCTCGTGGGCGCTGGATCTTGGGCACCATACCCGCTCTGTCACCAGCGCGGCCAATCTATTTATGAAAACAGCTGGAGGTGCACTGGCAATGCGATCAGCCTTTCGTCTGAATTCTCATAATGAGAAAATAATAAAAATGCGCATCTTTTTTAATGAAGTCAGTTTGACACTAATTTAGCAAGACTTCCAAATATTGAGGAGCTGCGTGGCACGGTGGGGCTGGCCATCTGCTGTGTGTAGCCCTGAAGAGCCCCAGGCGGCCTTGGGCCTTTCTGAAATGGTGACCTGTGTCAGACTGTCCATGTCCACAGTGTGAGTGCCATGGGACAGTCTTGGGTGTCAGGGCCCCGCGGCCCCGTACAACAGCGAGGTGGAGGGGCGCCGTGAGCTGCCACCACAGGACGCGCCTCCCTCACCCGCTGGAGCTGGGGCCATGTGGAGTTCTTGGCCCCAAGTGTTCGCCCCCCTCCACCACCCGATATTTCTGTGCTGTGATCTTGGGTTGATGCTGCAGCCACTCAGGGAAACAAATTATCTTACTGGTGATCAGCAAAGGCAGTGTAAGGAATCAACACTGCCTGTGTGTGTGTGTGTGTGTGTGTAGGAGTGCAGGTGTGCACATGTGTGAGCATAACGTGCACGTGCGGATGTTTGTATGGTGTGTGTGTGTGCATGCACGTGCGGGTGTTTGTATGGTGTGTGTGTGTGCATGCACGTGCGGGTGTTTGTATGGTGTGTACATGTGTGCACGTGTGGTGTTGTATGGTGCGTGTATGTGCACATACATGTGTAGGGGACGTTTGAGTGGGCTGTACATGTATTGCACACAGGTGCACATGTGTGTGTGCGCACACATGAGTATGTGCACCTCTGAGAAGAAATCCCAGGCGGGGCTGGTTGTCTTGTATGAATCCTGTTCAAGCTGTAGCCATGTCTCCCAAAGAAGACCTCGGTGAAACAAAAGCAAGGCACTTTCAGCCCTTAGACATCTAAGGATGCTTTTTAATTTTGGAAAATATCTTTCTTCAAGTGAACTTCTGAAGCATCCCACAGGATTCAGCTTCCTCCATTTTCTCACCATGGGCCCCTCCACGCCCTCCCCAACAGAGAGCCCATCTCTCAGAGTTCCAGCCTTCAGTCACCAGTCACACCTCACCTCCCGCCGTGCTCTGTCCTGACCCCACAGGCAGTCCACTGCAAGGCGTTGGCCATCAGATCCTCGCGTGAGGCTGGGGCTAGATCTTTGGCGCTAGCTGCCTTCCTGAGGCTCCAGGAAGGGCCGGGCAGCACACGCTCCCGCGGACGGGCTCAGTGTCGCGGGGTGTACGGGTGAGTCACAAACTCCCGGCTCGAGGAGGTGCGGTGCCGTGATGGGGTCTCTGCAGTTGGAAACACTAAATGCTCAGGACTCGTTAAGCGCCCCATGCCTCACTCTGCCGTCAGTGAGGCTGCCGCAGAGTAAGACATTATTGCCACGTAGACAGGCCTGCGGAGAGGAGACTCACAGAGCAGAGAGTCTGGTGATATAGGAACATTCCGTGAAAGGAAAATGTGGCTCTGGGATTGACAAGGCTCAGAAGAGACTCTGGAGGCTCGGGAAGCCACTTTGCAGAAGATTCTGAGCTTGTTAGGAAATAATACGGTGGCTGGAGATTGACCTTTCGCTTTATGCTCCTGAAGGATGTGGGCTTTGAGCCTGCCTGGGGCTGGAGTAGTATCCCGCCCCTCCCTCCACCCAGTGTGTCTGAGGACACTCTGAGTGGCAGGCCCAGGCCCAGTCTGGCTCATTTAAGAAGGGTTAATTGCAAGGTGCGTTGGATGTCTGAGGCTGGAGAGTCACAGAGTGGGGAACCTGGGGTTGGCGTGTGCCAGCATGTGGGGTCCTGGTGTCCCTGCATCGCCAGTGCCCAGCCTGTCCCCACCGCCACAGGACCCTCGCCAGCAGTGCCTCTGTTCTTACTCAGAGACACAGCACTCTCCAGAATCTACCACCTCTAGGGGCTTCAGGAGGAGCTCCAGAAACTCCCCTCTTCTTGCTGTCTGTGCCAGAGGGGGCACCCATGACTTCAGTAAGGAGAGCGGCCCCAGGCCTTCTTCTGCTGAGGGCCCATGGACGAGTGCTTCCCTCCAAGAGATGGGGTGCTGCCAGGAAGAGGAAGGGCCTGGGAGCCACCCCCACCTGTGCACATGACACCCCCTCCCCTCGGCACCCAGCTGGGTGGGTGCAATTGTAACAGGGAGGTCCCTAGGAAAAAGGGAAGTTCCAGGTTCCCTGCCCCACCCCGAAGGAGGGTGGAGCTGAGCAGAGAAAAAGGAGAGAAGAGAAGGGAGAAGAGGAGACAATGAAGCAGGGTGGAGAGCCAGGAGACCTGAGGAAGCCACATGGAGCAGCGAGCATGTGATGAAGAAACCGGGCTTGTTTCTTGACACTGGACTGGTTAAGGCAGATGTGGGTGAGACACCTGTAGGGAGGTGACTGTGGCAGTGTTTATATTGATTTTGATTTTGCTCTTTTCCTCCCAGATTTGTCTGGTCATTTCTGACCCTTTTCCACGGGTCCCGGCCAGAAGGTGCTTTAGTCTTGTGGCAACTTTCAGGCCTCGCTTTGGGCCAATCCCTTTTGGGTGGACTTTTGCCCACGAGGGGATGGGTCACTTCAGTGTTTGATTTACAAGTTATATTCTTTGTGTTCCGTATTGTATATTCACTGCATTAAAGTCCCTTTTCATTGAAGTTTTATATGTGATGTCTTGTTGCGGCGGATGGCAGAACCCACTTAGAGCAGGCAAGATTTGGGGCTTCAGGGGTGTCCCTCTCCCCCTGTCCTGGAACAGATTTGCTGCCTGTAACACAATGGTTGGAATGGACAGGCGAGGGAGTGCAGAGGACAGGGGAGCCACGCCTTCTCTGGAAACTCACAACTTCAGAGTAGATCTAGATCCACAAAGGCTACTCCGTCGGGCCAGGGCCGGCTTCCGCCTGTGGTTGAGGTTGCCTGGTGCTCATGATGAGGCGTGTCCCTGCCGGTGCTGCTCAACCCCTGATTCCTCCAGAGGCTTTATCCTCACTTCCTCCGTGCCCTTCCTGGCACCCGCTGGCCCTCGCGGGGCTAAGCCCCTTCCTTGTCCTGGGTGGCCTGGGGAAGCATCTAGGGTAGGGTGTCCCTCAGCTGGCATTTGTCCAGTGCTTCCCTGGGAGGGCGGGAGAGAGAGCAGTGCTGGCCTGTGTCTGCTGTGTCCTGTCAGGTGCCTGCTCCCTCCTGGCCTCTCTGTCACCGTTGGACTTCAGTGGTGCTGGTTCCTGGGTCTCCCGCGAGGCTGAACCCCTGCTCCTTCCACCGTGTTCTATGGGGGTGCTCTTTACACGCAGAGAGCACTGTGACAGTTGATTTTTTCCTTGAAAACCCCCTAAACTGCACCAAGCGTGCCTGCTGCATCCCCGGAGGCTCCACGGGCAGACCGTGGTGTGCTGGCAGCTGCCGGCCCAGAATTTGGTGCCAGTGTGAGCTGCCCACTCCCTGGTGTCGGGGCTCAGCAGAGTCCCTGTGTTCTTAAATGCCCCGCCTGGTGGAGCCCGTGGTGGGGTCCCTGGCTGACTCCCAGTGGCGGCTCCCATGTGATTCTCATGAGAGCCCAGAGTTGGTGCCTCCCTGAGCGGGATGTGCAGTGGGATGTACAGGGGTGGACAGTGGGCAGAGCAGGGTGTGTTTGCAGCACCCAGCAGACAGCGGTGTCATCGCCTCCTGCTGCCCAACACAAGTGTGGACACTCACGCATACTACTTTCTTGCATTTCATGGACTTCCCACGTTGCCGCCCTGGGGTCTCCAACTCAGAGGCTCCTCTGTTAGCCAGTGGCTGCTATTCCTGTCCAGCATCCAGTTTTTGATCTGGACTAATGGCTTTGTGCGTGTGCTGGGAGCAGGCTGACCTCTGGCCCCTCTTGGAAGGAGACAGGCCCCCTCCCTGCAGTGGCTGCCGAGCCCCCACTGTGCTGGAGATGCCGCCTGGGGAGTCTCCCCCTCGAGCTCCTGGCAGGGTTATTGGTTATAACTCTGATGGACTGGCAGGCTCTGGGGAGCTCCAGAGATTGATGGCTGACGGTGCCACGTAGCGAGGAGGAAATCCATATGCATTTGCATCCAGGGGAGCAAATCTGGACTTGAACCTGGACTCCTTGAGCCCCACACTCCCTCTCCCTGGTTTGGGGAGTGTTGCCGGTTCTGGGGTCTCTGTCCTTACTTCTCTTGCCCTGTGGCTACCAGCGCAGGGACAGTGGCTATAAACTTGGGTGGACAACCGGTGAGCCCCAGAGACCTCGGGGGTGCTCCGGACCCTCCGTAGGGAGTCTCAGAGACACAGCAAGGGCAAGCCATTTCCTTTCTCTCCCCGGCTCACAGCAAATGGACGACAACACTGGGCCCACTCCTGCCCCCACGTGACCTCAGCAGCAGCCAGGGGCACGAGCAGGAAGGGTTAGGAGGGCGGCTCCCTGCATCTTTTCCTTCCTTGGGGTTCAGAATGGGGCTGTCACAGGCCACCAGAGTGCCTGAGGGACGCATCTCCCCCTCAGGCCTGGCTTGCTCCAGGCAGGGTCTGCTACAGCCACACAGGCACCAGGGCAACACAACTTGCCTGTGGGGTCCCCTCCAGTGGCTTCTGGAGCCTCAGACTGAGCCTGTCACGGGCATTAGTTTTGGGGTGTGAAGACAAGCGGATTGCTTTGTAGCTAAAGCTCTATGTGGCTCCCTGCAACAGTGACAGCCAGTCTCTGAGCTTTATGCTCTGTGTCCTCGGTCCAACCTTCCTCTTCAGGTGTGTTCCTCCTCTCTGTCACCTGTGTGGAGCCTCAGTTGTGGTTTTCAACCAGACTGAAAGCTGCTGAAGGGGAAACCTCTGGCTTGTGTCCCCTTGGCCCTCACCCAGCTGGACACCCTCAGGTGTGAGAATTCCTGCAGTGAGGCAGGCAGGGGGCAGTGCTGGACATGCAGCCCTGACCATATCCTTCCTCCTCACTACTGACACCTGTGAATCGATGCCAAGGGGTCCAAAAATGCTCCTTCAAATCACTAGAATCGTCAGTGAACCTACCTGGTCTGGGATGGTTGCGAAACCCTCAGCCAGCCCAGAAGAGCCCAAAGAGGATAGCACCTGTTCCACTGAGAATAGAACCACAGCACCATGGAGCCAGAGAGCTTTGGAGGGGAAAGAAGTCAAGAGAACCTCTCAATGGACGATAGCCCCAAGAATATGTCCATTCAACACCCCGAAGCCTCTTCCGAAACCAACTCAACCACCATAATGGCCATTAACACCACTTTTGAAGCCCCCACACAGCCCACCACACAGTCCATCCAAACAACTGCCCAACCCACTTTTGCATCCTGCTTGGAGCCTCCCAAGGCCTGCTCCGACTTGGCGAATCATTCAGCAGAAGCCTTGCTGGGAGACTCTTTGGTGGATTTCTCTGTGAAGCTCTACCATGCCGTCTCGGAGCTGAAGAAGCCTGAGACCAACATAGCCTTTTCCCCGTTCAGTGTGGCCAGCCTCCTCACACACGTCCTGCTGGGGGCCGGGGACAAGACCAGGAGGAGCCTGGAGAGCCTCCTCTCCTACCCTGAGGGCTTCGCCTGCGTCCACGAGGCCCTGAAGGCCTTTAAGTCCAAAGGCTTCACCTCAGCCTCCCAGATCTTCCACAGCCCAGACCTGGCACTAAAGAGCACCTTCCTGAATGCCTCTCAGAGGCTGTACGCCAGCCACCCCCAGGTCCTCGGCAACAACAGCAGTGCCAGCGTGGAGCTCATCAACAGCTGGGTGTCAAAGAAGACCCACGGCAGGATCAGCCATCTGCTGGACAGCCTGCCCTCCGACACCCGCCTGGTCCTCCTCAATGCCATCCACCTGAGCACCAAGTGGAAGACAGTATTTAATCAGAAAAACAAAACAAAACAAAACAAAACAAAACACGATGGAGCCCTTTAACCTCAGGTCCTCTGTGATAAAAGTGCCCATGATGATGAGCAAGAAGTACCCTGTGGCGGGTTTCTCTGACCCGACTCTGAAGGCCAATATCAGGATGCCGCAGCTTTCCCACAACCTGAGCTTGGTGATCATGGTGCCCAGCACTTGAAATACCATCTGGAAGACTTGGAACAGGCTCTCAGCCCCACTGTCTTCAAGGCCGTCATGAAGAGGCTGGAGCTGTGCAAGTATCAGCCCACCCTCCTGATGATGCCCGCATCAAAGTGATGAGCAACCAGGACATGCTGCCCATTCTGGAGAAACTAGAATTCTTTGACTTTAGCTATGAACTTGACCTGTGTGGGATGACAGAGGACCCAGATCTTCAGGTCTCAGCGATGCAGCACCAGACCTTGCTGGAGCTGCTGGAGTCCGGAGTGGAGGCGGCTGCGGCCACCGCCGTCTCTGTGGCCTGAACTCTGCTGATCTTCGGGGTCCAGCAACCCTTCCTCTTCGTGCTCTGGGACCAAGAGTCCAAGTTCCCTGTCTTCATGGGGCAGGTGTATGACCCCAGGGGCTGACGAGCCAGCAGGGCGCATGGGGCCAGCCTGCACCCTTCACTCTTGGCTGTAGCCCACTGTCGCCTGCCTGGACGGGCCCCGAGCCATCTGCTGCCCAGGTCTCCGGGGTCCTGTCATCCGGGGTCTGGCAAAAGAACCTGTTTGTCCCTTCCCTGTGACCCTCCAAAGCACTTTTTACAGCTTTCTATGTTTCACACTCACCACACTACAAATAAAGCCTGGCAGATCGTGGCATCCTTTCAAAAAAAAAAAAAAAAAAGGCTGGTGGGAGGCCGGAGGAGCTGGGGGCTAAGCACGGTGAAGAGAGGAGAGCCAGAGGGGGCTGAACTCACCGCCTCTGCCCTCTGTGTCTCTACCCCACAGCCATGTGGGACAGAGGTGACATGTGGGCCATGGAGGGTGTCTGAGCCTGCGGATGGGCAGTGGCATGTCCCTTCCTCAGGCCCTTCTAGGCACTGGCCTAAGTGCTCCAAAGGCTGTGACACATTTGAGCCTCAGAAGGGCTGCCCAGGTCATCACCGCCATCACTTCCACATCCAGCACAGGAAGGGAGCGGTCAGGCCCTGGGCTGGGAGGCGCGGGGGCCGGCGCGCCCACCCCACAGTGGGAAGTTTGTGTTCCTAGCGCCAGGGCGGAGGAGCCCGGAGTCTCGGGGGCGAGTTACTGGAACAGCCTCTGTGTGCAGCACCTCGGGCCTAGCCTGGGTGTGGTAGCGGGGGAGGCTGAGGCTGGCCAGCACCGGCCAGAGGGCCGGTGGTATCTCAGTGGGGCAAGATGCCCTTGGGGCCAGTGCCTCTGAGAGGGCGGCTGGCTCCATCTTTGCCCACGTCAGGGTGGGAGAGGGCCCACCTATTCCGTACAGCAAGGCGCTGGCTCGGGACCCCACACTAGCTGCGGTGGGAGGAGGGTGCTGGAGGTGGCTGGCCTGCTGGGGGCACAGAGGAGTGAGAGTTCTGGGTGCAAGCGAACCCCCAAGGCCCTTGGCAGGCCTGCGGCTCTGGCCAGCCATCCAGCAAACGGTCAGCTTGGACGTGTGTCCAGCATCAGGAAACGTAACCCCCCGCATGAGGTCAATTCACTTTAAAAGAGGCCGATGTTAATACAAGCTGCTTCTGACTTGAACTCCTGAGAGAAAATGAGAGGAGGGACGCGTTCAAAGCTGCTTAGGAGGCGTTTTCTTTAATGACTCGGGAAGACGTGCACTCAGCACATTCCTCGTGCCGCGCGGGCCCCGCCAGGTGTCAACCCCCACCCACCCCGAATCTGAAGGTATGGAAGTAAATTGATTTTTTGAAAAAGAGCAGAAATAACACCAGTTCTCACAAGGGGGTGCGGGCAGAGGTCTGCTGCAGCGGGAGGTGGGTGTTCCCACAGCCAGCTCAGCACATCTGCCTGCCCGCTTGCCTGGGCGTGAGGCTGTCTCTCTGGGGGCTCTTCCCGCCATGCCAGGGGCTCCACCCCTCTCGACTTGCACTGGCAGGGGGGTCGCTCACCCCATAGGACAAAGCAGGGCTGGGGACCCGGCGCCTTGGGGCTTGACCTTCCACTGCATCTCGGAAGGCTGGGCTCTGGGAGCTGCAGGTAAAGCGTCCCTCTCTTCTGGGAGGGCCCACGGGTGGCCCTGAGGCTCCTCGGGGCTGGGGAGCCAGCTTGCATTCCCATGGAGCCCCCAGACTCTCACTGACAGCCATCCTGGGTGCTGTGGACCTCAAGCCACCAAGAGGCACTGTCATAGGCCACCAGCTGCCCCACGCAGGTGGCTGCTCCTCATAGCTGAGGTTCCTCTGTGCTGCACACATCTGGGGCAGCATGAACCTGGGTGCTGGGGCCTTCGGGAATCTGCTCAGCGGGGGTGACCCTTCCTGAAGAGGAGGGGGGCAAGGGGTGCTGGGGTGCTCCATCCTGCACCCCAGCAGGGCTCCTGGGGTGTCCACCCCACTGACCGAGCTTCCCAGGAGTACGCTCACTCAGTTCTGGCTTCTGGGCAGGTGGTTGGGAGCCTGAAGGTGGGAGGTGCGGATTCAGGAAGATACTCTTCCCTCTCACCCCTCAGACTGCCACGCTCCTGCATAGGTGCTCCAGGCCTCCCCCCACCCTACCCCGGCAGCCCCTGGGGGCACTGGCCCCACAGAGGCCTCGCTGCTTGTCCTCTGCTGCAGGTGCAGGCCCCTGGGCAGCACCACCTTCCTCGGCTCTCTAAACAGCAGTGCCGGCTGCTCGGCTGCCCTGCCCCTGGCCTGGCCTGGCCAACTGGCCGGGTGAGAGGCTGTGGCTGGAAATGGAGTGTCTTTCCTGACCCCGCCCTGTGTGCCAGAGCAGAGACAGTCCTGGGTTTTGTCACCAGACCAGCCCCAGCTGGAAGCGGGGCCAGGAGGTCACAGCAATATGGAAATGGATTCAGCCAGAGGCTAAAAACTTCACAGACAGCCACATGCAGGCTGGGAGCGCAGGGTGCAGCAGTGTTTCCCATCCTCCGCTGAGCCTGTTCAGGGCAGAGCGTCCATGTCTATGTCCCCCTGTTCACTGTTTGGGCAGTTGACTAATAGATGGTGGTGAAACACCACCCAGGGATGCCTCTGTCAGCAACAGGAACCAGGACCTCCGATGGCCATGATGCTCTGAAGTCTCGGGTGACTTAGCAGGTGGGAGAAATGTAGAACTAACCCTCTGGCCATTCTTAGCTGCCTTGTGGTCACTCCCCCATGCTCCACAGACCCTTGTACCCCCTCACACTCCCACCCCCATACACACACCCTCCATCCCTCACCTCTGTACCTCCACCCCATGCACACACACCTCCATACCCCCACATACCCCATACCTCGCCCACGCACCCAAACTCACACACCTACCCCCGACACCACCCGCACCTGCAGTGCTGGGGGACCAGGCTTGGCAAAATAGGGCCAGGTCTGTCCACAGAACCCTCTCTGACCTCTTGTTCTCCCGCCATGATTCCCAGTTTTTGAAAACACAGCTGTGGACATACATTTTGTGAAGTGAAGTGTGTCGATGAACACCCTCTGTGTTACATCCATGCAGGCAGAGGCTGGGCCTGGCTAGAGCTGTCCACGCTGGGCTTGGTGAAAACAGAATGTGCCGCCACCCCATCCCGCCAACGAGCTGCTGAAGGGGAAAGGAGGGAGGAAGAAAGCTGAGAGACAAGAGGAATTGATCTTCGAAGAAAATATAAACCAGGAGAAAGAAAGACTCTTCTCTGGGGGTGCTAAGGTGGCCAAGCCTTTAAAAAAATTTGAATATGAATCTAACAAGTCAAGAGTTAAGAAAATTAATCAAAAATGGAGACAGGATACACCAACGAGAGAACTGAGGTTCTGAAGTCAGGATGGAGCGCAAAGCAGAAACCTTAATGCAAGCAACAGATTGGACCTTGTGGAAAGGGAATCGTGGCTGATAGAGGAACTTAAGAAAACTCTTGGTGAGAGTAAAGGAAAATGCAGTGGCTAAAAGAATTAGAAAACAGACATTAGCTACAAAGAAGGATGATCCAGTAGAAGGACAGTTACTGGCCCTGGAGCTGAGGACTCCACAAAATGAATCAAAATTATTCTCAAATAAATTTCTTTTCAAGATTAAGGCATAGACCTAAAGGGCATTCTGTGTTGCAGAAAAAGAATGAACAAAAATATCCCAAGGGGTATCCTAATTATGCAATTTCAATCATTAGGAAAACGATTCCATCCAGGAAGACCAGTCATCGCCCAGAGCTAAGAAACAGGTTGCCGGGATGGAAAGGTGAGGGGAGAGCCTGGAAGAGTCATTTCCCCCAGTGCAGCTGGGGAGTCGTGCAATTCCGATGACAACACCGACTGAGAGATGCGTGAGGAACTTGACGGGTTGATTTTTAAAATTTTATCAATATTAAAAGGCCAAGAATAGTAAGGTGCTAAAAAGAAGCATCTTTCACACAGATGGCTCATTAAAAACTCAGAGTGTTGGCAGGACTGGGGAGATAGTCATGGGCAGACGGAGCCCCATGAAGCCACGTGTGCACAGGCTTGCCCTGACGGAGCTGCAAGTGCAGGCTGAGAGCGGGGCGGGTGGCCGCAAGTGGCACCGGGACACGGATTAGCCAACAGGAAAAGGAGCCACTCCCTGCTCCCTGCTCCACACGCCGTGCTATGGACATCAGCTCTAGATCCATTAGGTATTGAACGGAAAAATAGATCAAGGGGGGAAGAAATCCATCAGGACGTCTTTATGAACTCTGGGAGGGTGGGATTTCTTAAACAAGATACTGAAATAAATACTAAGCACATGGAAAATGGACACATTGAGTCCAATGTTGAAATAAGTACTATTTTTAAGATCAAAAAGCATTTGGGAGAGTGTTTATAATACGTAAGGTCAACAGAGAATTAGGTTATACAATGTATAAAGAGTGGCCATAGTTCAGTGGGTCAAAGCATAATCAAATAGAAAAATGGGGAAAATATGAACATACATCAGAATAAAGGGAAGAGCAAATGAAAACCCAGAGTTAGACAAGGTGATATCAAGAGTCACCCAGCCTGGATCGGGGGCACCCACGTGAACTGTATGGAAAGCTGGTACCTGCACTCCAGGAAGCAGTGGGATCCCTGGGCCATCAGAGATGGGCCACTGGCCGACATTCCTGCTGCGAGGACCCAGAGACACTCTCCCACCTGTCCTGTAGGAGGTGAAGCCAGCCCTCATGGTGGCAGTGGCTGGAGCTCTAGAACACTGGACACAGCTGTGGGGAGGGCAGTGGGCAGGAGTTTGGCCATCCTGTACAGGGGAGCTGAACACTCATGTGGCGACTTGGTTACAGTCAGAACAGTGGTGCGGACAGTCTCTGAGGTGTAGTATTGACTTTAAGGAAAAGTTGCCGAAAAGGACATTTATGCAGATATTAAAATGTGCTTCAAGTGGACAGCATGCTGCAGGGCAGTGGACACATGCATTCACCAGGTCACTGACCACAGAAAGGAGGTGAGGGCATAACTGGGGATGAGGCTATGATGAGGGCATCATGCAGGGACAGCAAAGACACTGACTTGGTCCATAGGTACTGTGGACTTGGGGTGTTCATTATTGCCTCTTAAAATTTCCATGAATGCTTTATATACATGTGTGCGTGC